TATGGATCGCGATGCTCCGGGAGTGCCGTCGCAGCTTATTGTGGCAGCCAATGCTCAGTACTGGGCAAAGTACACCGTCTACGGTCATGGCACTGTGGTCAAGCACAATGGAGCTCTCTACCGTAGCCATGGACTGGTCACGGTGGCCACGCCCGGCAACGCCAGTCATCTGCGTTTCTATGTAAGTAAGAAGACATAAGCAGGAACTCCATTAGCTCACATATTTCGTTCTGCGTTTATAGAAACTGTTCCACAATCCCACTGTCATCTACTCCACGTTGGCCACGCTGCAGGCAGCCGTGCTGCTGGTGGAGATTGCCTCGTTAAGCGCCGCCAGCATTGAATGGCATTTTGTGCTGTCCATTAGCTTTGTGGCCTTCACCAGCATGGTCGCTTTCTTTAAACTGGTGCGAGATTATCTCATCACCAAACATCTCTACAAGGCAGAGTGCTCCACCATTTACAATTAAGCCACCCACAAGCAGCTAAATGTAATCAAAGAATTCCTAGCAAAATGTCATGCCAAAAAGCCATGTTATCAATGAATATCGAATATATGCTAGATTTCAATATCTATCTATACGAAACTGTTTATCCTGACTTACTAAATAAACCTATATTTTCCATGGTAGTTATCGCTACGGGTTTTTGAATTCGATTCGCTTCAAACTCATTTTGGAACTTTGACATCCAAAATACATATATGTTCAGCAAGACGTTATTTTAATAAAAAATATATCGAGCTGAGGAAATAAATAATATATAACGTATAAGTTACGAGCTATATCGCCTTAATTTTAAATAACATCTAATGTTTTACTCCAATTTGATAACTATACGATCACTAATTTAGCTTCTTCTGCTGCTGGAGGCGCTCTTTTGATCGCTATAAACCCAGGAGCTGCCCTTCTTGTGGTCGCGAACACTGAACCCATGTCGTTGCAGGAGATCCCGTAGCCTATCACATAGGCCCAACAACTCCACATTCTTGACATTGCCGTTCACAGCCTGCTCCCGCAGCTGGCAACGTATGGCCAGGACATCAGCGACCAGCGCATTGATGTCGACGCGGGCTGTGGCCTCTGCTGGTTGTAGCTGTTGCTGCTGAATCGCGGCCAGAGGACTGATGCCAAAGTTGAGCATCGCTACGCTGATAAAGTTGCCCGCCGCCAGCAGCAGGTCTAGGCAGTGGGCCGGATCCTGTTGTGCATCTGCCTGCTGCTCGTTGATGCAGCGACTGATGCTGCTCATCTGATCCAACAGCACGCCTATGCCACGCGCCGTGTCAAAATCATCGCGCAGGCTGTTATCATATTCCTGAACCATGTGCTTTAGCTGTGCCTGCAGCGCGCCCTGGTCGAGTAGCTTCAGCGGCTTCTGGAACTGCATGTAGGCGCTGAGATCGGCGTGAAAGTTCTTGAACTTGCGCAGAGTTTGCCGTGCTGTCAGCATCAGCTGGTCACTGTACTGCATAGCGTTGCGATAGTTGGACAACAGGCAGGCCATGCGAAACTCATCCGCTGTGTATTTTTGCAGCAGCTCCTCTACGGTTATGGTGTTGCCCAAAGATTTGGACATCTTCTGCTCCTCACCTACCAAATGCAGCTGGCCGGTATGCAGCCAGTAGTTGACCCATTGATCGGTCCGGAAGTGTGCACAACATTGTGCCTCCTCGTTCTCGTGATGGGGAAAACGCAAATCAAGGCCACCCGCATGGAAATCCACTTTGTTCCCGAAAAACATGCTGGCAATAGCGCTGCATTCAATATGCCAGCCAGGTCGTCCGGCGCCACCCCAGGATGAAGGCCAGCTGGGCTCGTGCTCCTCCTTTTGGGCCTTCCAGAGCGCAAAGTCCGCAGAATTACGCTTGCCCATCTCCGCTACCGCATGCTCATCTTTGCTAATCTTCTCCAGCTTGCCATAGTTCGCATATTTTGATACATCAAAGTATACAGAACTATCTTGGGCCACGTAAGCCTGCTGATTAACCAGCAGGTGCTCGATGAAGCGCTGGATGACGGGAATATTTGCGGATACGTGCGCGCGCAGATTGGGCGGCTTTACATTCAGCCACATCATGCTCTCCTTGAACTCCGCATCGTAGGCGTGTGCTAGTTCTAGCCAATTGTGACCGGTCTCCCGGCTACGCTTAATGATCTTATCATCCACGTCTGTAATATTCATGGCCGTCACCAGGTTGTACTTAAAGTGGTCCCGCAGTATGCGCTGTATTATATCCACCTTGACATAGGTGCTGGCATGTCCCACATGCGTCTTATCGTACACCGTCGGCCCACAGGTGTACCAAGTGACCATCTGGGGATTGCGCAGCACCAGCGGAACTTTGCCGCGCACACTATGATTGTATATGCTAATGCCGGTATCCTCCCCGCAGGGCCTTTGCCAACCGCCAAACGCAGATGAAGGCGGTGCCTGTTCGACGCCGCTGCTGAGCTTACGAGGCCACAATTGGGAGTTGCGCAGCTGCCTGCATTCTTCTAGGCGACAGCTGATAAAAGGGAATATCAGCGTCTTGCACGGATCGGCATTGATCTATCGATCTACTTACATTTTCAACATATTCTCTGTTTCTCTACAATAATTTTAAAATGTTCGATCTACATGCGTACAAAATGTCTTAAATTTATAACAACAGCTGATTAACGATTGACAATTGTTGCACAGCAGCAAATCTATCGATATAACTGCACCCAACTACTTTTATTTTGTTTACCGCGATTAGTTTGCTACAGTCCCTGGTTTTCAAAAATTGGTGTTGATAAATTTGTTTTGCCAAGTGTTTTGATGTTTAAACTCCGAAACTGACTGTTTCGTTACGAATTGTTTTTCAAAATAGCAGTCAATCAAGATAAGAAAAGCTATATTTAACCTGCCCAAAAGTTATAAAGAGATACAAGCTGGTATCTATACTATGGGTTTATATTCTTTCCTATCCTTCGCATTCCAAGGACTTAAGTTTCTAGTAAATGCTCTTCCTAAACTTTAACCTTCTATAACACTGGCAAAACTAAACAACTTTTGATAATTGACGCCATTTTGAAATGGTGTGTGCCCTAGTCTTATTTTAACTTGATAATTTATGCATAAAATAGCATTTTTTGGTAATTTGGAATCTATAATTTTTATTTGTAATTAATTGAAAGTATCAATTTTGGAATTTTCCTGTCATTCTAAAAATTAGGAAATTTTGACTTAAAATCTCCTACTTCTGCCATAGGTGAACAGATTTTTATGGTTAATTTTATTTTGGTCCCTTTGGTTTGAGCTCAAAGTTTAGAAAAGTATGTTCTTCAAATATTTATTCTCTTGGTTGGAACCCTCCCTGCTGGCTTTTACTGCGATATGCGTCCATAGAAGCTAAGCGACAAACAAGCGGGCATTGCCCAAACACAATATTCCCATTGGGAGAAGAGAATAAAAAAATGTTTTCTTAATAAATCACGCAATTCCACAAGTTAAACGAAGTTAAATTGTGCCAGTACAGTCCTGTATTATGTGCCAAATCAATATAAGAACGCATTGTTTGGAAAATGGCAAAAATCATACGCACCATGGTCCAAGTGTTTGCCAAAGCTTCAATGCGTAAGCAAAAAAAACGAGCATTGGGGTCAAGGATATTAGGCACAAGCAGGTGGGAGGTCAAAAGGAAAAGTAGCGTAGTATTTTCGGCAACTAAATTAAATGTGATTTAGGCATTTGCTTTTCACCAACAAGCTAAAAAGGAGGTTAAGTTAAATTGCAAACAAATTAAAAAGGAGCCATAATGCGGCCCCGGAATTCCCCTTGGAGTTTGTGCTAATAAAAAATAGCGCATTCTGCCAGTAATAGGAATTTCACAGATTTCCCACATGGGCTTGGTCTAACATATTGTTCGCTTCTGAGCAATTGATATTAATTTATTGGCCGTGCTTTAAATCGGCATCGCGTGAAAACATTTGTGCGCCCAGAAATTAGCATGAATAGCTATCAGCTTGTTGCAAGTCGCACCCAGTGCAAGGTGCAGTTTTGTATAATAGAAATTAGATTGAAAGCCTGGCCAGGCCAAATATGATTCTGGGTTTGGTACCGCTGATTAAGGTCAGCACAGCGATTACACTGAGTGTGTGGGTCGAGCAAGGAAACCCAGCCCCAAAAGGCTTTCAAACCGTAACGAGTGCCTAAAAGCTTAAACTATTTGCGAATTGGAATTCCCAACTATTTTTTGGACTAAGAAGAAGTTACCCGGCGTCGCCAGGTGAACCTGACCGCCCGATACTTTAACACCTACAATTTTAAAACATTTTGCATTCATAATAATTATTTTGTTATTTAAAATGTTTAATTTAGGTACAAATTTGCAAATACTTGATTTAAGTACACCCTGCTTATTACTCTGCTGGATTTCTGTCTTTTTTTTGGGGGAATTGCGCCTGTTTAAGATAAGTTTAAGAATTTCGTGCTTAGCTTAAGGACTTCGACCTTGGCCGAATTTTGACAATGTTTAAGATTTGGGCACAAAAGTCTTGGTACATATTCTTTTTGCTGATATTCTGCAACAGAAATTGAGAGGCACGCAGCCCAAAAAAAAGAAAGAAATTAAATAAAAAAACTAAATTCATATCTATAGCCATAGAATGTCAGTCTAAAAACAACAAAAACAACAACTGGTGGGCCGCACCGACAGTGGCAAGTTTTCATGTCCAAGGCGTATTTATGTCAACCGGAAGTAGGTTTACTGACCCACGTATACGTTTCAGCGACGGGCAGCCGACCGACTCCGGTGGCTACTTCGGCTGCCTAATAACATTCAGAGGTAAAACAACTGGACACATCAAAGAAACGCTGCCTTAGCTTGGCTGGCCAGGAGGACGACGACGGCGACGGCGACGACGTCGACGACGATGACGGCGGCAACAACGACAACACGTAGTATAAGAAGGCATTTTCTTTCAGCGGTTTAGTTTTCCAACGAACGGCAAGTGCATCGGATCGATGCGAAAAGCGCGTTGTGCTCTGCCTCTTAATTCGATTTAAATAATTGTATGTACACACACACAATCCTGCCACATTTTAAATAAGCATTCCTCCACATTTAAGTGTAGCCTAAGGTGTAATATTTTTAAAAAAAGGAAACCCAACTGAAATTTCAATGAGTCAATTAAACAGTCCTAAATAAAAGAAACGCAGTCAATTTTAAAGCCTGCATATGTTAAACGGTCAATAAGTCGGGAGGAATGTTAAAAAAAAAAACAACTTATGTTGCAACTTGCAATCTAATATAACAAAACTTAAATCCTAATACTAAAGTACTTAAATCTTAAAGTGAAAACAATAGTGAACTTTTAAGTTGAGTGAAAATTGGTTATCGAAATAAAGTACTACACGTTCTTTTTTTAGAAGGAAACCTTATATACAACTATTGTTCAATTCCATTAAAAACATTCTACAATTCTACTATTATTTTTTTTTTTAAATTTCTAAACACAGTTTACTGCATTAATAATAAAATCGGGCATAACATTTCCACAAAAAGCAAAACATAAATAAATATTGTTTAAGGAGAAAAACTACAAATTAACATAACGATTTTCTAAAGCGAAAATAAATTCGGGAATAAAGTTAAATATAAAAAAATACTAAGGAAAACAAACTATTTAATTCCTTAAGTTTAAAGCTCGAAATAAGCTAACAATCGAATGTTCAGAATTTCAATGAAAGTAACGAAATTTTTCAATTCTTAAAGCTAAAGAAAATTGGCAAGTCTTAAGCTGAATGGAAATTTGCCATCACGACACTAACCAAGGATTTTCTTTTAGCCAAAACGCCTTACGGAAAAGTCTTCTATGACTGTGTGTGGCACATTAATAGATGTTGTTGTGGTTGTTGGCACTGTGTGTGCTGCTTTCATGTTGCAACAGTGCGGCGCCAGGAGCGTGGCAAGTCGTTGGTCATTCAAGTGCTGCCTGGTTGTTGACTTGTCGGCGCAGGGCACAAGGCAAATGTGTGTGAAATTGTTGCTATTTTGACCCCCTGAACCAAAGCCAAGGAGAAGGCAAACGAAGGTGGACCCCTCGTGTGCGCGCGAGTGTAAAGTCCCATGTCCCAGCACACACACACACAAGTGCAACCATGTGTGTGAGTGTGTGTATTGAAAATAGATTTCACGTCATTTTTAAGCCAAAAGTTTAGTTTGCCTGTGCGTAAAGCCTTTTAATATAGGTTAATCAAATTGTTTTCTGGCTTATAACGCATGCAAAAATTGTAACTGTAACAGTGCTCCACATATACGGACACACACGCATATATATACATATGTATATATATTCACACACATACACACACACATCAAATGCACATCGCGTGTCATACCAACAGGTGCCACGCGGCAAGTGAACAAACACAATCACAATCACACTCACACACACACACACACACGAAACTAGCATGCGACGGCAGCGGTTCTGCAACCGCTCGAATTTGCGGCGAAATTCGACGGCGAATTCACGTTTACTACTTCACGTAGCCAATTTGCCAACTCGAGTGTCTTTCAAAGCAATTACAAATTTTGCTTTGATTTCGCCTTGGCGAGCGGTTGACACTTTAGTCGATTCTCATTGGATTTAACCCAAAAACGGAATAACTTATTTTTAAGTGATTTCCGTTTTGTTGATGGCAAATGTTTGATGCGTTCTTAAGTAAATGACTTCAAAAACATTATTATATTATACACTAGCGGGTATAACCCGGCCTTGCCCGTGGCACGTATGTCATAAAATCAATGTTCTCAAACAAAGATGAAATGATTTTGAAACTGATCGGACGGTAAACAAATAACTTTCATACAAACGTTTTCCGCCAATTTACCACTGTTGCGAGTGGAATTTCCCAAATCGCTGAAATACGTATTTATTAAGTTCTTATGTAGAGCTTTGAAAATAAGTTTGAAGCAAATCGGACACAACTTTAAACTTCGCCCAAAAAGTCTTTAAATCGCATTCCCCCCGAAGAAGTTTGAATTCTTCGAAAAGTGTAAAACACGTCTCAAATGATTTTTCTTATAGATCTTTGGAAACGAATTTGAGTGCGAAACGTCACCCACCAAATCTTTGACCTCCATTTCCACCAAGGAGGAACGGATTTTTCGAAAAGTGTGAAACACCCCTCAAATGAATTTGAGCAAAGATATTTGAAAATAAGTTTGGGGCCGATCGGATGGTAAACAAAAAACTTTCATACAACCGCTTTCCGCCAATTTACCACTGTTGCGGGTGGAATTTCCCGCATTACTAGAAACAAATGAGTAATATCCTTTTTGTTTATAATGATACTATAAGCCGCAGCCAGCGATATTTAAACGGTGACTTTAGGATTTAATAGGTTTTGGTTCGAGCTTTAAGACCTTTTGACTTTGTAAAAGCAAATGCTTTAATACTATAATGATTGCCACAAAAATTACTGCTTAGTTTAGCTCAAAACACTTTCACTAATTAATTTAAGACATGTACAAAAGATAAAAGAGGAGATTGCTTAACTACAGTTAAAGTCATTGCAAATTTTTGTTGGGAATTCAGTGGTATTCGGTGCAGCTTTAAAGTGCAACATTACTCAGCAATTTGCAACATGCAACGCGAGGCATAGCCATAATCTAGACACGCACAAGTTATGCTCTCGTTAGCGAACATCATTTGAAGGCAAATAAATAATAAGCGAAAAGTAGCATAGCACACGACATTGAAATACCCTGTAAGCATGCAACAGTTTAAATCTATGATGGTTCGAATTGAGTGCACTTTAATAACGAGAAAGAAGTGCTATCTTCCGCACGCCGAAGATTTAATACCCTTGCAGACCCAACCTTTTCATAATGCTCATAGTGGGTTGCTCGTATCTAAGAAGCACAGGGAAAATAGTTAATGCCGAGTGTGGTTAAGATACCTTGAAAAACCCAAAAGTTTTCCATGCAAGAGCCTACTTTTCGACCGATCGTTGCTATGGCAGCTATATGATATAGTAGACGGATCCAGCTGGTTCCGACATATATGGCTATATCGACTCGGCTGTTGATACTGATTAAGAATATATATACTTTATGGGGTCGGAAATGTCTCCTTCTATGCGTAACACATTTCACGACAAAATTAAAATACCCTCTGCAAAGGTATAAAAAGACTGCTCCAAATTTAAGTTTAAGCTGAGTGGCATTTATATAGTTTTTTTGAATTGCGTATTTAAAAAGTTTCGACCATGGCTTTGTGCTGGATCTGAGCATAAAATTCAAAATATTTTAACGTACCAGATATACCCAACACATCTCTAGCTCAGGGTATAAACACTCGCTGGACTGTTAACTGCAGCCTGGGGGTACATTGAGCTGTCTGTTGCTTTATCAGCTCAAGCAACGCTCAATGGCAATGGCAGTGAAATACTAGATATTAGAAAAGCCAGTAGATATAATATATTGTTGTAAATAATAATTACTATTTTTCGCAACACTTTTTTTTATGCATCGTATATCGACTTTTTCGTTGCACATTTGCCCGGGCTTGGGCCTGTCTTCAGTCGGCCTGTGGAGCTTCGCGTGTTTGGTGCACTGACATTGCATTGGCCAGAAGGTCTAACTGACAGTCTATGGCTGTAAAATTGGATACGTAAGTGCGCCGATATAGTTTTAGTTGCCTCGCGTCACTTACTTTACTTGTGCAGCCGAAGGACTTGAGTTTTTTAGTAAGGCTCTCCGCGTATAATTATAAATAAACATCAAATGTTTTCTATAAACAGTTGACGGGTTTGGTAATTCAAAAGAAAAAGATTATAGGTGTAAAGAAAAATTGTGCTGAGCAATAACTCAGTCGAAAAACTGGGCGTTCGAACCGGCAATTTCTCGTTTACCAGGCGGACGCCTACTGACTACACGCACTCGCAGGAAATTAGAAAGGGAGAAAGACAGAGAGAAAGAGAGAGAGAGTATTTAAACCAATTTAGGCCGAATATTGGCATTCATTTTTAATCACAAATAAGCAATGATAAGTGGGTTGGATTAAGAAACATAAGGCACATTTTTGACCTTATATATTAAGCGCATTTTTCATTCTTGTTACAGAATTAAGAACAATGGCACTTCTTCCAGGCTACAACAATTGCAGCTCACATTGAAAGAACGGCGTGCTTCCTGTACCCCTCTGCATTTCGCCCAAGGAGTTTTTCGCTTAGCATCAGTGTAGCATCGGGTGGAGAGAGCAGCACAAATGAAAAATCATGCAGCAAACATTGTCCTATTCATCATCGCCATCACCAACACTCATCTCGACAATAGCCCAGCCAATAAGGTCACCCACGGACACAGACACAGCCGCAGCTACGCCAGCCATCATATCCGTGGACTTTAGCTACGATCCCAGTCGCATAATGTCCCCATCTGCACAGAGCAATGTCAGCTATAAGCGCAGCTCAGAGATCGTCTCAGAGACGCTCTACATGGAGAAGACGTCCGCGAGTAATCAGCCGTACAGCAGCCTATTTGGTGATCCAGTGCCCCCACCGCAGCCCGAGGATTATTTTGGCACGGCCGCCTTTGAGACCATACGTGCCGGATCTATGGACATGCCCAGTTCCGAGGAGGATACACTTGTGGCTGCCGTTGCCCTCAACACCCTCATGGGCCACCACGAGGGTGGACGCCGGCTCTTCTCCAATGTGCCCTACAGCAGAGCTCAGGCTCAATCCATACCACGTCTGCAACCGCCCGACATTCAAATACTACCCAATTCGAGTGGTGGCTCCAGCTCCGAGCAGCTTGACTCCCCGAATTTTATGTTACTCGCACCGCAGGACATAGTCAACAAGCCGGATGTTTATGAATGTGAATATGAGCAGGCAGCACAAGCTCCGGATAATACATTCGACGAGCTGGAATCACAGACCGAGCACAGGTAAGCGGAGGAAGACCAAGAGCAAAATGCAAAGAGGATAACTAATCAATTTATAAATTTTCTAGACCTATATCGGGCTCGTATGCGAGCAGTGGCCTGGATTGGTACCGTCCAACAGCTCAGCACTTCGCAGAGTTCAGTCGCATACCAAAGCTACGGCCAAGCTCCAAAATGGTGATGTCCATGAAGCACGAGGAGATGCCGCTGTCGCCCCTGGCCACAATGCTGCAGGACTCGAATGGTTCGAGCAGCGGCGGCGAGGAACAATTGTTAAACAATCAAGGACAGCAAATGCGCGAATGTTCACCGATGACAAGCACAACTCCCACCATGGACAGGAATCTCATACTATCGCCAAAGCAATATCTGCAGCAACAGCAACAGGAGCTGCTGCTCCATGAACGACAGCTACTGGAGACCATGCGAGCATACGGCCTGGAGACGCCACGAACACCCAGTGTGCATCACAGTCAGCCGCCTCCAGCTGAATCCAGCATTGATATCTCGCCTACGGAGGAGCAACCGCAATCACAGACTTTGTCACCAGTGGTTTTCAAGGACTCGGTCTCAACGGGCGGTGAATATCGGTAAGGTTTGGAGTGAATAGCTTTAGCTCTCATTTCTTATTTCCGTTTTTCTTTCTCCAAAGCGTGGGTGATACTCGCCTGCACAAGAAGTCCTCCTTCACCATACTCTCGTTGCGCTCACCTAAAACCTCGCTCAGCCACAGTCCCAGTGCCACGCCTGTGGCGCCGCGTCGAACACGAGTGCCCGCAGCTCGACATCCCTCCCTACAGTCAACCACTACCTCCTCCAATACAGCCCAGCCGCAGGTGAGGCCGCGGCGCAAGTCGCTGACTGCATCTCGCTTACCGCAACTGCCGACAAGCGCTCACACGCCCAACAGCCAGCTGGCCATTGATGACTCGCCACGCCCCTCTGTGCAATTTAACATGAGCGGGCGTTACAGTCCAAGCAAATTGGCCATGCCCACCAAGGGCATACTGCAGCAGAGAGATTCGTTGACCTCATCGGTGGACACGTATACGCCACGTGTGCAGCGTCGTGGTTCCATGAATATGGGCTCATCTCCGTTTGGCCAGCGGATCAAGAGTCTGGAAGCGTTGCCCTTAATAACGGATCCATATCGCAGCGGTATACCCCGACTGCATAGATCTTCCATGGAACTGGATAAAGAACCTTCGATTATACCACCGGGTACACTGCCGCGTCCTTTAAAGCCAAACCCGAACCCAACACGCAAGCAGCGTGGACTGCTTGGAGTTATAAATAAGGCAGACGACTTCCCTCGCAACCCACCCAGCTCGAATTGGTTAAGTTTGGATGACCTGACGATTGGTACACATCTTGCGAAGTCTGCGTTTGATCCAATGCGCATCCAGGCGAGACGACGTTCAAGTTCCACATCGCCAGAGCGCCGCAGCTCCACGCAAACCGCTTCCGATCGTCGCAGCTCCAATCTGAGCAGCATCACCACCTCCGACTTCAGCTTTCGTCGACCATCGACGCTATCAACACTGCCAACCACTGCACAACGTCGCAATTCCGTCTATCAACCGCCACGCAAGGAGAAGAGCCCAAGACGTCAACCCTTTGCCAGCAAGGACTTAAAGCGTGCCAAGATTGCCAAGCCAAGCACTCTATCGCCCATTATAGGTACGCCAAACAAGGATAGCGGCAAGGATAGTCCACTGCATGGGGATGCTTATGAGGCTGCTCACCGGGATACGCCTTCTGAGTTGTCGATGCGTCGTGATTCCATGTCACGCATACCAGTGCGCAGTCGCCAGGATTCATATCCAAACAGTCGCTCCAATTCACCACTTAAGGACTTTGCCAATTTGTCCAGCTTGTCCGGCCGCAACTCCCAGGCGAGCAACAGTCGGTCACCTTCGCAGGCCACGATTCGCAGTAGCATTGACAACCAGGGTGCGACGCATGTCGACAGCAGATTGACGCCCACTCGCTTCAATGGCAGTCGTCCAGTTTCCCGAGGGCCACCTTCCAGGCCCTCCTCACGCATAGCCCAAACTAAGGATACTTCTCAGGCCAACTCTCGGGGCAACTCACGGGCTAACTCGCGGGCAGATTCTCAGGTCAACTCTCGGGCCAACTCTAGGGCAGATTCCCAGGCCAACTCTCGTGCTAACTCTCGACTGAGCGTGCGTTCATCCTTACGTGCAACAAGCATTTCACCAGCGACTTCATTCCGCAATGATCGACAAGCTGATACCACACCTAATCGCAGAAAATCCATTTCTACGAGTCCTAAACGCCAAACAATAAAAGGAATGGCTGCGCGCAGAATGTCACTGAGTCCAGCGGCCAAGCAGGCAAAACCTTCGCCAAGACGTGAAAGCAATAAGACGCCCTCAAGTAGTCAACGTAGGAATTCCCGCTCACGCATACCAACAAGCACAAGCGTTAGTCGGAATGCCTCCAAGTCCAGTTCTCCATCCAAGAAGCAGGCAGACAAGCCCTCTGATAAATCAGGAGCGTCAAAGGGCAAAAAGCCAGCACAAGTACTGTCCAAAAGCAGCCCCAAGGCAAAGTCAAGCAAAGCTGAAAGTGCCAAAAAGAAGACCTCGTCAATAAGTAAGCCCGAGTTGGGTGTCAAGCGTAACGGAGGTAAAGTCCTGGCGAAATCCACACCCAAAAACCAAGCAACCAAGCCAAAAACTCCTGCTAAGCCGCAGAAACAGGAACCAGGACAAAACAGCGGTAAAACAGAGAAACCTGCCACCAAAACAAATGGAGCTAGCGGCTTACCCAAGCCCCTAGCCCGCACTGGATCCCAGCTGAACAATAAGAAACCTAACGAAAGTCCATCCACGAAATCGAAGCAAAAAGAGTCGCCGGAAAAAGTGGAGGCTACTGCTGCTACTGCTGCTGCTAAGGACATCGCGGCGGACAGCATGAAGCCGCTAGCAATGCATGTGGGCAACGCAGTAAATGCAGCGGCAGACGCGCTGCCCGCTGTCCGCAGCGAAGTGAATGCGACTCCAGCCAAAAGCAGCGCCGTCAAGCGACAAGGTTCAAACACGTCCACACTGATCCGCATGAGCTCGCGACTCAGTATGATAAGCAACAAGAAGCGAGGCGATTCTGCACAGAATCGCAAAGTGGCAACGGTACCGGAACTGACTACGGAAGTCGAGGGTATGTCTATTTTATCAATGAATTCACTTTCAATATGCCAAAACGCTTAAGCCTTAAAAGAAGATGGCTCTGAGCTCATACCATGCCTTGGCTGAATCCGTAGCTGTCTGTTGTTTCTCTCTATTACAGTTAAACTCTCTCTCTACATTTTATACACAGCATCTAACAGCCAGGCGGATCCACTGGCCGGCAGTGATAGCTTGGGTCCGACTGCAACAAGTTCGGATGCCCTAGAGGCCACACAGAAGTCCAGCGCAGCGGCCACCACCGAGGCACACAAAACAGTTAATGAACATTTAATTGACCATAAAACGCACGAAAACGAATCAGGACTTGCCCCAGTTACTGGTGCCTCGCCCACCCCAAGTGGAGTCACAATGCTGGCCAAGTCACACGACGCCGCCCCGCGCCTGGACACAGCCGATGGCAGCAATGCCCAGCGCAGCTCCCCCTCCGAGACACAAAAGTCCCCCCTGCCACCAACGCAGCCCATTGAAGCATCCATTTCCGTGCTGAATGCAATCGATGCGGACGCGGCCAGCGCTCAGACCACTGCACACGGCGTCTCGGCCAAGCCAGAAGCCGACTGTGATAAATCCAATTTGCAGGAGGAACGCGCCGTCAACTTTGAACACGCAACATCTGCGGCTGGTCATGGCGACGATTTTCCAGTGGATGACAAAAGACTTTCACCCGACGGACAGGGTGGCTCGACAGCAGGCAGCGGGGGAATTGCCAAGTAAGTAGCTAACTCAGCGGATTCACAGATACAGAAATTTGTGTATGTATGTAGAGCTGATTGATGGACTGATGTACTGACATAAGCTGCTCGACAAACTGACTGATAGATGGACTGATTTACTAATCATTAACTCGTAGCCCAAAGCTTAAGAGGAAGATAGCTAAAGTTTTACAGTAGTTGCCTAAGTGAAGGGTTAAGAAGGGATTGAATGTATTCTATTTTATTTGATCCGCTTTAAAAGAATTTTCAAAGATTTTTGTCAAAACTCACGGGATTAATGTTTAACATTTTTCGGAAAATACATCCCTCCAAGGTAGACGGTTTTTTTTGTTAAGGTTTTATTTTGAACCAATGGAAGTCTAATTATTTGAATAGCTACCGAAGTCCAATAAAAAAAAACAGGTTGATTGCAACTGCTTAGTATATTTTCCCTTCTAGACCGATTAGGCAAAATCCACTTGTCTACGATTAAAATTTAATTTTCCCACGGTCGGAAAATGTAAATAAAAACGCTTGGCCCTGCTAGTTGGACGCGTCCTCTATGGGGCACATGAGACCTGTTCGACAATTTTTATATAGTAAATAAAAACCCGACGCAATTTGCCATAGTTTTTTTTTTTGTGAAGTCTACTAACTTTTTGCCACGTCCTTAAAGTCTCCAAGTAAAAACAATTGCCAGCCATATACCCCTTGGCCAGGAAATTTACATAGCCGGAAACTCGCCGAACAAGAACCGTGCGGGTAAAACTTTAGACCACCAAACCACGCAGCTCCACATACAACATTTATATGTATATAGGAGTATAAGTATATTTATATATATATATATATATAAAGTTGTGTATGTGGTGGGCAAGGAGCCGCCAAGCCACTCATAAATGCGTCAATAAATTTACGAGCTAGTTGGGGTTTGGGGCCTGGGCGACCATACGAAACGCCTTTAAGGATATCCGTTCGCTGGCTTGTCGTCCTCAACGTTGGTCGTGAGCGGCGGCGTCCTTCAATGCATATACAAGCCTACATACGTGTGGGTATATATGGTATTGCAGGTCCGCCAGTCGAGAGGTGTGCACACACTAACTACATAACAATCTGCCTGCTTACTTAGTTTTCGTGGCATGTCCAAAGTTTCATGCCGCAATAACAAATCAGTTACAGCCGGACAATCGCGCCAAGCGCAGCACAAAAGTTACTCCCAAAAAGATTGAATCGAAGAACAATTGATGAACATTATTAAACGAGTGATTCCTAACGTTTAAGTATTCAAAATGTTGACAAAGAAGAAAAAGAACTCGGTCATCTTTCACATAGATCTACCGCAGAATTCGTTAATTAATGCGGATAAATATCTATTTAGGTAAACAAAAAAATCATAAATATTTTAAGTGGTTTCCAATATGGGTTTTTTAAATTTTAAAAATGTTGACAAAGAAGAAAAAGAACTCGGTCATCTTTCACAGATGCGGATAACAATTTATTTGGGTAAACCAAACAAAAATTTATACATGGTCTATTAAGATAATTGTTTGATAATCAGATCAGAGTTTGGGAGTAAACCAAAACCTACTAAATCAAAGTTTGCTTTATTTATATATATCTATATATACGTGTATAAGGATATCTAAGCAATTAAGTAAAATTAACTGATTGGTGCGGAAATATATCCGTTTGGGTGAAAACAACCAAAAGCTCGTCTAGCAAAGTTTGTTTATTTTCCGTATATACCATATACGCTATATTAATTAAGTAGTTAATGCGTCAAAAGTTGGGAAAGTACAAAACTTGTAGTTTCTTTCTCGACCTCCAAAATAAGTTTGGTCGTTGGCTCGTGCGGTCGTTGAAATCTTATTTATTGGCGTGTAGGTTCTCTTTGGCACGTGGTCGAGTGGAAAATTGTGTAAGTTTGGGCTAATTTATGTTAAATTAAAGTGCCCGACTTGGGCAAAGAAAGGGCTAACCTTGAACTTAAAGTGGGTTTAATAACCCAGGCAATGCGTGTGCGTAACAATATAACAATCGGTTCCATGAATGAAGTATTATAAGTATATGCTATAGGGCAACCTTTTGACCTATTAGCTGAAATATGCGCATACATATGCTAATGTATGTGCTCTCGTGCAGTTCATCTTTATCGTATTGAATGCAAAAGTCATTAAATATGCTAAAATGCAAATGATGGGAATGCACCGCAGCCGCAGGGCACGAAATCGATTTGCATAATAAATGTGCCCCATGCAAATTGTGTGCAAATTATTTCCATGATATTACAAAAAGGACAAGGTCTATGGTTATTACCCACAGTGATTATACTCGGCCAATTTCCGATGGACAACGAATATCTATTATAGATCAAGGCTGCAAGCTGGTTCAAACCCAGTTTCCCATTTTCCCCATTTGTTTTTAAGCCTTCCCAAGCTGCTGTCTTCTGCGGATTAGGTTTTAGCCGCTAAACTTTTCTAAGCCGTCTTCCTTTTTTTTATTTATTTTCTAGAACCAGCAGTCAGGAGTTCCTCAAGGAGGATGTGGCCAAAGGTGGCTGCTGCCGCTGCTGCACCACGCTTTGCATGCGATTCCGTCGCTCCCGCTGCATGCGCTGCTGCGGTATGCGGAAGGAGCGCCTACATGACGCCACTGAAGAGCAGCCTGTACTCTCGAGTGCCCGGAGCAGTGCCTCAACCACAACAACCCAGCTGGAGATAATTGATGAGTCCAAACACGCGAAGAAGTCGCGCTGTTGGCCAACATCAAATTGCTGCAAGAGCTGCCGCAAAAAGCCAAAACCAACTGCGAGTTCAGAGGAGAAAGAGACCAAAATGAGCGTGGAGCCAATGCATCAATCCACTTCCATGCGACCAAAGCAGCAGCACCACCAGCAGCAGCAGCAGCAGAGCAAGTGTGGTCTGTGCCTGAGAAAGGTTTTCTGCTGTCGCTCCGTTAACAAAGTCGATCCCGTAACCGGCGACGAGACGGAGCTAAGGAAATGCTGCTTTTGCATACCCTGCCGGCGGCAGAGAGCGGCCGCCGCAGAACCCAAAGTGGCATGGCGGGATCAGGATCCGGAGCTGGGCATAGCTGCTACAGATGCAGCCGTACTGGAGGGCTCTTCAGTGGCGCCGTCAACAGCGACAGTGGCCGAGGACGTCACCAAGATGTAAGTCGAGCGAGATACCCGGAGAGAGTATATTCGAGCATATAGATACATCATTTGCGATTTCAGGAGTTGCTGCAGGCGTTTTTGGCTTATGCTGCTCTGCTGCCGCAAGAAACCGCGCCGCGGCTCCGATGCACGCCGACAAAGTATTAAAGCGCCACCAGCCAGTGAAGTAAGTCCTGATTGATTGACTGACTGACTGATGATCGGCGCGCAGCCTAAACCGTAAGAGCTTCACAGCTTAACTTATTACAGTAGCCTTTTATGACTTAAGACTAAGACATCGTTTCTGGAAATTACACTTACAAGGGTGGAAAACTTATGAAAAACGGTTGCATGAAGTTTTTCGTCTTTCACCCACCCCCCAATTCGATTCAAACCTATTTTTTTTAAAATTCTACATAGATAATTATTAGAAACGCGTCCAAATAGTCGGGAAATGGAAGAAAAACTGTTGTATGACAATTTTTTGAGTTTCATCCAATTGATTTTACTTAGATGTTTTTAAATCGATTGACAGAACGTCATTTAAGACGTGCTTCACCGATCAGCTCACCTAGGTGAAAATGGCGCTAGGAGTAGCTAGCTTCTGAGCCAGGGGAATGTTTCCTGCCCCTACTATATATGTATCTGACTGTTTTCCATTCTTGCTTCAACTTTGTTCAACCTTTAGGAAACGCGTCGCAAGCTGCATAATGATCTGGTGGAGTATACTTCCAAGATGAAAGGTGCCATACCCGTGCTGCCGCTTTACCTCGCCTGGTTTTGCGCCTTTTGCAATGTCATCTTTCCGGGCTTAGGTTAGTTTTTCCTTATATCAAATCCTTATACACATTTTAAAGCGCAACATATCTGTAGGCACCCTGCTCTCTGGACTATTCTGCTTGTGTGTGGGAATTCCACGTTTCTCGCAGTTCGACAGCGCGCATGCCCGTATCGGATCCTTTATCATAAATATTATTGTCGCAGTGTCACAATTCTTCTGTGTGCTCTTCTGCTTTGTCGGTTGGGGCTGGTCAATCTGGTGGGGCACCATTATGCTGAAGTGTGCAAGTGAGTTCAGTACATACTTAATATGGATCGCATTCACCTTGGTATTTTCAGGGAAACTGAGCAAAATCAAAAAGGTGGAGCGTCTCGAACTGGAGGAGGAACAGCGCCAGGCTGAACTGGCGGCCGCTGCGACCGTTGCGGTACGTGGCGAGACGGAGCCGGCAAAGACTTAAAGGCCTTGAAATACCAAAACCCAAATCCATTTGGGTATAACAAAAAAAGTAGCTTCCACATACTACATACACACACTTCCAATTAAACTTCCTAGACAAAGTGAGATGGATGTGGATAATCCTTTTGGGAATATAGAAAAATCGTCAAACTTCCAGTGAAAAGTGGCGAAGGTACAGGGGAGATAAACTAAATTCACTTCCATATGTACATATATACATATATGTATAAATAAGTATTTATATAAACTTTTGCAAATAAGTGACCTTAAACATAGTCATTTAAAAAACTTGAACCCAATATCAAATTGGGATTAATAAAAAAAATAAAAAAACATTTTATTTACTAATAAAAAAATTGCATTTTTAATAGAGATTAATATCGCATAAAAATGCATGCAAAAAAGCTTCAGATAAATACCTGAAAACTGGAAGCTTCTTGGATCGCCATGCTGACAGTTAATTGTGACATGCTTCCCGCGCAAAAAGTTCCGTTTCTTCTCAATATGGTTTCATTTGTATTCACTATTTTTCATGCATTCTTATCTCAATTGTAAGCTCGAAATTATCCGCAATTTCACCAGCTACTTATTATTTTTTTTCATACACGCAATACCGCACTAACTTTAATTCCAAATTTATTATTAAATTTAATTTCAAGCATATTATTTAATTTTTCACTACGCCAAAACACTAGTAACGGCAGCTTTCTCTAACTAAACACTGCTTGCTGTTAACAACATTGCCAGGGCAGCATTACAGTTGGTTGCTCATGTGAGTCAGTCGTTCGATTGAACTTGTTCCGAACGATTCAATACAGCACTGTGTGGAAAATAACTTTAGCATCGCCACGCGAATATTGTTTCGTTTATTTTTTTGCGTATAAATTATAAATCTCCTACTCAAAATCGCATATTATTCAATATGGCACACTTGGTGAAAATGGAAAACGGCCAAAGCCAGACCATACAAGAAATGTTGGGCTGCATTGAGCGGTAAATTTTGCACCATTAATCAGCGCAGTCAAAAAATACACACAAACATAACCTATATTTTTATGTGTCTAGCTACAATCCGGATCATTTAAAAATACTGGAATCTTACGTCCAGGACCAGGCCAAGAACAATACCTACGATCTGGAGGCCAATCTCGCTGTACTCAAGCTATATCAGTTCAATCCGCACATGCTAAACTTTGACATCACCTACACGATTCTGCTGAAGTGCCTGACTAACTTGCCCCACACAGATTTCGTTATGGCCAAGTGCCTGTTGCTGCCACAGCAGATGAAGGATGAGAATATCCAGACCATTATCGATTTGGCAGACATATTGGAGCGCGCTGACTTCACTCTGTTCTGGCAACGCGCTGAAGTCAATCGAACCATGTTCCGCCATATAACCGGCTTCCATGATTCCATTCGCAAATTTGTCTCACATGTTGTGGGAACCACGTTCCAGACGATCAAGAAGGATTTGCTGAAGGAGCTGTTGGGCGGCATCGAGGACTCCACACTGGAGAATTGGATTAAACGCAATGGTTGGAAGCATCAGGGACACGATCTCGTCGTCGTCGCAACGCAGGACGATAAAATTAAGACCAAGAACATTACGGAGAAGATCGAGTTCGAGAATGTGGGTGCACTGATGGCACAATGTATCTAAGCTTAAATAAGGTTAAAATTTTATACGGTTAAGTGACGCTCTATATATGCTAATAAAATCCAGGCACACCTTACAACATATATACAAACTAAATACAGTTTTATTTTGCGCTCACACAGAGACATCTTAACTTAATACAAATTACAATTAGTCAACTTTAAGAGTTAATACCCTAGAAAACTACATGTGCTTAGCAATGATGAAGTAGGCCTTATGATTGCTTCTTGAACTTTTTCAAGATTGGAAATATCTTGTCGAAGGCATCGTATATCTCCTGTCGCACTTTGGCGCCCGTCAGCACTACCTTACCTGAGACAAAGATGAGAAGCACAATGCGTGGTCGCACCATGCGATAGATGAGACCCGGAAACAGTTCCGGTTCATAGCTGCTGAAATTGCAATGCGTCAGGACTAGACCCTCCAGGCGAATGGGGAATTTGACATCGCATGAGCCGACCATATTTTGTATCTTAAAGTCAAGGAATTTGGCCTGAAAGAGAAACAATGTCAAGTGTCTTCAATTTACAGTGCTCTGAGATATCCCGTACTCAGCTGCGAGCTGCCCCCTACAGGGTGTACATGCAGCTGCACACTTACCGGAAAGCCCAACTTCTGTATGATGCGCGCATACTTTCGAGCTGCCAGCCTTGAATCATCTTCGCTCTTGGCCCCGGTGCAGACCATTTTTCCAGAACTGAAGATCAAAGCGGTGGTACGTGGCTCACGAATACGCATAATCACGGCCGCAAAACGCTTGGGATTATACTCGGCGTTGCGCGCATGTAGAGCAATTTTCTTTAAATCCAATTTACAGCACAAGTTGACGGTGGACACAATATTTTGCAGTTGTGGCACAATGCCCGGATCAGCCGAGCCGGGCGTGGCAGGCGTCATCGGTGTAGATGGACCCATGGTCTGATGTATGTTGCTGAGGGATGCATCCCCGGTGGAGCTGCGCTCCGTCATTGGCATCATGTGCGACATCATACTCTGCGGCGTCTGTGGCTGCATTAGAGATTGGGGAGTGGTGCCACCCGTGTTGCTGCTCTGGTTCTGCTGCTGCTGCTGCTGGTACGAGGCAGACGGCTGATAGCTTTGCATTTGTTTGTGGGCCAAGGGTATTGACGGCTCATGGCCAAACAAGCCGCTGCCGCCGCTTCCATCGGCACCACTTACTCCACTGTTGCCGTCGGGCTGCTGGTTCTGCTGCACTGTTGAGGCAGCTGTTGTCGTTGGCTCCAGTGCAGCTGGATGATAGACCTGATGTGGTAATGCTTCAATTTGTTGATCGGCGTCGAGGCTGTGGTGTATCGGCGTTGGTGCATGCCCAATGCTGGGTATTGAAAAGTTCGGGCTCATAATGTCATCCATTGTGACGATGTTTTATTTAATTCTTGGAGCCGCAAATTCGTATTAATGCAAAGCTGGGTGAAAATTCAACAAAAATATGTGAGCGTAAATGGAAAGCCGCGTCGCTCCTCAGGGTTGCATTCACACTGATTGTAATTGTGTGTGTGGTACCAAATAACACTGAGCTAGTTCCATTATTTTCGTTCATTTGATTTTTAGTTCGTTTAGGTATTTTATCGATATATACAAATATCACTAGTTTCGATAGCTCTATTTAAAAAAATTTATCAAGACATCGAAACAAATTTGAAACATAACGGCCAACATCTTTGAAAAGTAAAGCAATAAACACAGTCAAATAATCAAATGCTTCTAACGGCTTTATTTAAGAGTTTCTGACTTAAAAAATAATTAACAGTTAGGACACACATACACATTTAAGTTATCATATGCAACATATATAAAAAAAATAGTAATGTAAGACACATTTAGAATATATTGATGCAATAATACCAGAAAAAGAGTGTGTGATTTCACAAAAGTTTCAGTTAACATTGTTATTTTCTTGTTTTTTGTTTATTTAGTATGCTTAATATATATGTTTAAATGATTTTATTCTTTGGCCCTTTTACATACATAAGCTTTCATAAGTTTCAGGTGTTGCTTTAACTAATGCATAGCCATAAATACAATAGCTGCCGTTATTTTTACTTATCTCTCGAGAGGTTCTCAATTGCCCTCTGGTTTGGGCAAATTCGTGTCATAGGCGCGTATAACTATAGATTGCGGCACAGCACCGCCTTCCTCTTGGGAAAATGCATAGCCATCTGAGGAAAAATATGTATATTTTGATATCAGATATAATAATTATACATTGCATATGGTAGAGTTGGGTGGGGTTTGCTTTTTAATGAACATGTGGATGAAATGTGTTTTTGCTGTGAAAACAATAGTTACCTGACAGCCCCCCCCCCCCACGCAGAACGTTTGAAAAATATAAAATCAAAAGCCATTTCTTTAATTAACCGATACGCTACAGCTGATAACCGTGGCTATACGCGTGTGTATACATATACTTAACTAGCCCATTAAAAAATGAAATGCTGCCACCAATCGTTGGCCATTTGACCAAACTGTACTAAAAACAAACGCCCTTGGGGGCACACTGTACACTGTATACTGAACACTGTACACATTGGAACTGATTGATATATGGGTAGTACTCACGCGATAATTCTAGTTCCGTTTCGACTCTTGTGTTGGCACGACGGGTGAAAACATTGCGTAGCAATCTCGCAGTTTCAGTGAATCTGTAGAATTAATTGTTTATCGTTTTGCAGTTTCGCAGGACGTTTAGTATATAAATTTGGATAAGAGTGGATTCTTTGGTTCTTCAACATTTTTCGTGGCAGATCTTAAATTTTCAATTTAAATTGTTAGCACTCTACGGCCATTAAAAAAAAAAATGATAAGTAAGCATAGGTCGCTACATTTAATCGAGGGTGACCAAATTAATGGAGCATGCAAATTTTGGCAATATTAGTTAAACTAAAGACTGTTATTCGACAAACGGCAAACATAAAAGTAATGGCGAAATCTTGTAAAAAAAAATAGAACATGCAATGCGTACAAACTTGATAATCTGAAGGATAAAAAAAACAGAAATAAACCTTAAATATATTTATTTATTTATAAACTCGGTGCTGTTTACCTTTGCCCTTATACAGAAACTACGAGTACCTAATAGATATCCTTTAATTGCAAATAAATTCGTGACCTATTGAAATATCGTGGATGGTTGTGACTGTATATGAATATGAGTTGGACTTTATGTATATAGATATATATGTGCACATATATGTTACTATTTTTTGATTTACACATTTGATCTATGAATTACTTACATCGAATAATTGATCCCAAGGCATTCATAGTACTGCGCACACACATACAAGTTACGCAAAGAAAATATATGAGAATTTTAAAATAGATATTTAAAAAAATTGCTTTGAGTTTTATTTTATAAAGGAAATTAATTTGCATTTTTAATTGTTGCTTTGTGTTAGAATTAAAAATAAAAGAATAATTAAAGTGCATTACATTCAGCCATATGTCAAATGTGCGCCGAACTGTTCTGTTAGTGGACTATATTTTTTGTTAGGGTATTAAATTGCATGCGAACTTCGGCAGCAAATGCAGCCTACATACATATATATGATGAAAACTAATACATAACTTATATAGTTTATAACATATTTTATTCAGTTTTCACACAGATACATAGTTAAGCCAAGACAGGCATGTCCATAGGGCTTATAAAATTAAGAATCTTGTTAACTTTTTCTTAGCTTCTTGAATCACTTTCGTTTAGGCTGTATAAAATATTTGCCATATTTTCGCGATGCTCTTTTAAAAACGGAGTGTATTTTGAGTTTAATATTAATTGAACCGGTTGGGTATACAGGAAGGTTTAATGATGGGATGTACTTAAGGGATTGCTTAAGCTAGTGACTATGTTTATACAGTTAATTAATTGACTATATGTATATAGTATATATATGTATATTTCACAAAATAACAATAACATTAAAGCACAACAATTGAGACAGGAAACTTTCTCTTAAATTAAAGTTCTTGTTAACTGGATTTCATACAAGTTTTTGTACATCTACTATAGACGTTGGTATAGTTCAATTTAGAAAAGGAACCAACTCTTTGTTGGCATGTTTTTAAGTAAAAGAATACTTAATAGTAGAACAATCAGCTTAGAATATAAACAACATGTTATTTAAAAATCTAAAACATTTTCATAATTGCACACAATTCATTTGCTAGAGTAATCAGTATCACAGTTGGATAAATTTTAAGAATTACACCTGTACATTTATGAAGAATGCAGTTTTCTATGAATACTACAAGTTTTGATTGGAATGGATATGGCTTTTGTACGCCCTGAGCACATACAATAAATATGCATATAATATATTTAATGAGCCCTTAATTTATATATTTGATTTATATTAAGACATAAAACAATAGATTCTCTGTTAATACATAGTGCATATACAAGCACCTGGCTTATTATAGAGATTCTGTTCCAACCGCCTGGCTACATATGCAGAGTCCCACTGCCCACGCTGTCCACATGATGGGAGCCACCCGCTAATCGGTGACTTCGGCGATTATATTGCCGCTGCTGTTCCTGGGTATCCAGCTCATCATCATCGATATCCCAGTTTTCGACGCGTAAATGACGAGCCGAGGTATGCGAATTCCTGTCGTTTATGCTCCGCCTGCCTGGAGTCCTTCTGCGACTCAACATGCTTTCCATACGTCCGTGCTTAAAACGAAATTCCCTTTTATTTGCCATTCATCGTGGAGTGAGTTGGTGGAAGAGCGTAGTTTTTAACAATTATCGTGGATTGGGCATAAGGAGTTGGGATTGATTACAATGAGTTTATGCGATATCATATTTCGGATCAAGCATTATGTTTTATGTATTCGAAATGTGTGTGTCAATTGTTAATAATTGGGTTTGTTTGGTTTCAAAATTATTGTTGCTAATAAGTAAATAATATTACCAATTGATGGCACAAATTTCGGTAATTGATACTTAATATTTCTTTTCAAATTTTGTCTCCTAATTAAACGTAATCGTGTTTATTTGCTACTAAAAAAAACACACATTTTTGCTAATCAACTCAATTTCAATTCATGACTAAATAAATACGTAATTTAATCCAAGCAATTGTTTGCTAAAAATATATATTTATAATACAAATATGCAATGTTTTGTGTTTTTGCTAACAAAAAACAAATTTACTATCGACTATATAATACCCTGTGCTGTGTTGTTTTTTTTTTTGTTATATAATTAATGCTTAACAATAAACTTTTTAGTATTCCCTGTAAACAGGCGGAAAACTCAGGGTCAGGCAGTTGAGCCTGGGGAAATTGAGCATCCAGTGTTGGACAATACGCATTTATCGACTGAACAGATCTTTAGCTTAGATATATGTTTTTACTTGGTACAAGTAAAAAAAAAAAAACTTATGAGAGTCCTTTAATATATATTTTTTTCTTTCAAATATATATAGGCTTGTTTTTCGATTTGATATGAATCCACGTATATCTATTTAAGTGATAAGTATTAGTTTTCGTTCGTTATTTTTGCCGCTAATTGCAACTAGTTTTCTAAACGCTCGTGTTCTTTGTGAGTACAAATTGCAATAGATTTGCTGACTAATAGTGAGGCAATTAATAAAAGTTCAATAAACAATGACAGATACATAAGCAAATACACACATGAGTGTCTGAACAGTTAGACAAGTGACTAACAGATTATTTAAATTAGGTGATTAGTTAAATGCAAAATGATCTAATAGCATTAGCTATATAATGAAAAGACGTCTCACAAAATGGTGCAGACAACTACAAAACGAAAAATGCATATATAAAAGCAGGGACCGCAAGGAATAATATACATATATATATGTATATATATATAGTATGACATTCACAGATATATTATATCTTGTTCAATTTCCGAACGGTCCGTGCCAAAAATCAATAAAAGTAACTACTAAATAATAGGAAAAGGCGCAACAATTCAAATTGAAAATGTAGAGTAGCATATTTTTGGTTTTGATCAATTGATGCCAAATAGTTAACCAATTGATAGGAAAATAAATCCAAAAATATTGCAAATACATAGTGTATATCAATAGATTCTCTCTTTCAACTGAATACTTACGAGGAGCGCGACTCTTCCATCACCTGTGAGGGATCGTGACGCTGTATTTCCGACTCACGCACAGCCTCGGTGAGCGACTTGAAAACGGTATTATGTATTCTACAATGAATCGAAAAATAATTAATAGCTGCATATACACCCAGATTAGTTTGATGACTCGAAACTTACAGCTTACAGATGACATCGATCAGCAAGCTGGCGATGGGCACCAGCACCAAACCAAACCAAAAGACGGGCGTCGACAGTAGTTGAGAGTCCATGCCGGCAAAGTTGCTCGCAAAGCTCAATCCTGGCCAAATGTGGCTATATATCAGAACAAACACAAACCAGAGCAGAATTGAGCCCCAAATGGCGGCATGCGTTAGCCAGGTCCAGGAGCTGGTGATGAGTCCGGCTTTCAAGCAAACGGTTACAATAACATACTGCAAAATACAAACAAGTCAATTTAAAATTATATATATTAACTTTATATACGTATACTTTTCCTTCATTTGAATAAATTCTTGTATTAACTCACCGTATAGACCATGTTGCCCAGCAGCAGATAGTCACTGGTTTTGCCATCCCCCCAAATTGCTTCCTCCTGGAATGCGAACAGCGGCAGCCAGAAGAGAAAGACCGAGTGCAGCAAAGCATTGAAAATCCAAATCCAAAAGACTCGCACATTAAAGAGTTTGGCATTCTGCGAGGGTTTATACAGCAGCGGATACTTAAGCATTGTGTCGGCCGTGCAGAACTTCTCAAAGAGGCCAATTGCAAATGGGGGCATGGCGGTGAAGACAACGTTATACAGGCCAATGGTCCAGCGCTCAAACAGAATTTGTCCCGACCAGCCCGAGTAGAGGGCGAACCAGAGCTCAATGACATATAAGCAGACATTTTTGTAGAAACTGTAGAGGATCAGCTTGCTGATGCGTGCATAATTCCAGGCGCCATGGACGAGAATCAAGCGACGCAAATATCGAAACTGGGCAATCGAGTAGTCAGAGGCGCAGGATGCCTGCAGACCTTCCACACCCGAAATGCCAATGCCAACACTTGCCTTTTGTATCATGGCCACATCGTTGGCACCGTCGCCAATGGCCAGGGTAACCGCCTTGGTGCTTTGCGTAACCATCTCGACCACCTCGGCCTTTTGGATGGGCGAAACGCGACAGCAGATGACGACGCGGCAAATTAGGCACAACTCCTGGAAATCGCCGCGCAGGTCACAGGTCAATGCATACTTCAGGGTCTTGCCATCGATGACGAGCGCCACATTCGCATCCTTGACCGAGGAGCTCTTAAACTCGCCAATGTGCCGCAGAATGACATCACGAGTGGCCTGCAAAGCAAATTTAAATTATTGACAAGTTTGTAACGCTGCACACAATGCAACTTACGTCCAGACTGCCCTCGTTGAGTATGATAATGTCCATGGTGTGTGTGATCAGTTTGCACGAGTAACCAATGTTGATGGCCGTTTCCTGCTTGTCCCCGGTCAAAACCCAAATGTATATGCCTGCTTCCAGCAGGGCGGATATGGTCTCCGGCACGCCATCCTGTAATTTGTCCTCAATTGCAGTTGCGCCTAGCAGACGAAGATTGGTCTCGATTAAATTTGCGGCATCTTCCAGCTTGCTGACGCGATACTGCAATGCTATCGACGCCTTGTGGTGTGTCTGGCTCCATTCCCGGTACACTTCTTCATCAATGTCGGCCACGGCCAAGCACAGCGTGCGCAAGCCCTCGGAGGCGAACTCCTCTAAATGCTGCAAAGTTGTCTCCCGGTATGACTGATCACGCGGCGAGAGACGCTCGTATATAACTGAATCGGCGCCCTTGGTGAAGAGCTTTATTTTACCCTCTGGCGTTCGCACAATGACCGACATCCGTTTCCGTGTCGACGTAAATTCGAGTACATTCAGTACCTGGAAGCGCATACGCTTCCCCAATGCATTTATCTCCACATAGTCAGGCGTGCGTGTGTCGAAAATGTAGCCAAACTTTCGTGCACCATCGACCAGAGCACGCTCATCAGGACTAGCGGCATGATAGATAATGGTGCCATCCTCCTTTTTTTCTGGTATCACCGTATGGCACACGGACAATAGTACCAGAAAGTCCTCAATGTCCTTGGAGGATTCCTGCCTCCTAAGTATATTCTGCACCAGGTCCGATTCCTCGGGCGTGCGTTCGGGCTCGTAAATGCGCTTTGCTATGGAGCACTTCTTGAAAGCCATCACGTTCCGTGTCAGCGTGCCCGTTTTGTCCGAAAAGATATACTTAATCAGGCCAAGCTCTTCGTTGAGATTAGAGGTGCGCGCACTGGCCGGCATATTGGACTCCTCGTGATACATCTCAATGTCATAGTTGATGAAGATAGCCTGTAGAAAACGCACCAATTCCAGGGTGACCTGCAGCGATATGGGTATCAGATTGTTGTACAGAATGAAGAACGTCAGCAGATTATAGCCGAGGCTCATGCTCTTAAAGTCTCCAATGGCCAAATACCAGTCCGTTTGGGAATGTTTTTGCGTCCAAAACAAATTGCACAGCCCGCTTGTTATGCAGAGAGAGATCAGTATCATGAACAACATTAAAATCTGTGTGTTGGTTAGTTTGTCGACAGTGGACCGCTTAAGAGGCGCCGAGGTCGAGTTCTTCATCAGCTTTGTTTCGTGTCCCGAGTACACGACAATGCCGAATATCCAGGCCGTATTCCGCAACATGGCGCCACGCTGTAGCACCTGATCGCTGCCAAGTGAACAGGCACTGCCCATAGGATAAATCTTTGTTTTTAAATCGGAATCAATCAGCTTTAGCTTTAACAGAGGTTGCACTTACGGTTTACCATACTCCTTCAGCACGCCATTAAACTCGTACAATAGCCGGTTCGGCAATTCACATTCAAGTTTGCCCTCCAATTGCAACAAGTCTTTCGTTTCCAGTAATTTGGCTGTCGACGGCAAGCCCTGTCGAATCTTCAAGTTCGTCTCGCCATCCAAATTTGCCGTTTCAATGAAACACATGGCCTGCGGCTCGCTGCAAAGAATTCAATATATCAAATATAGATATAGTATGCAATAATATATATATTATAGATTCAGCTTCAAACCGGGTCGGGTCGGGTCGGGTATATAGTGACTACTCACCTTGACGACAACAATATTAAATCGGCAGGAAAGAATGTATCGATGACCACCTTTATAATATCCCCAACTGTCAGCTCGGACCAGCGCACCGTGGTCCAAGTGTCATTTTCTAAGCGCTCAATCAATCGATGGTTGATTTCATTATCAGCGCGATGTCGTTTCTGCAAATAAAGATAAATATATATATAAATGTATCTGAAATGTCGCTTTTAACACATGAACTTACCAAATCCTCGATGATTTCCTTGATGGCGCTTACTGAGAGTATAAAGAGGAGTGGCACCAATGTGGTGTAGCGACCCGTTGGCGACACATCCGGAATTTGTTGTAATAATGCAATAAGTAAGAAAAATATATTGGAATATCGTCGGAATTGCTCAAAGAGGAACGACGGTATAAAGGTGAGGACACTGTGTGAAATACAGAAGCATTTATTAATCAATTAGTATTGCAAATGGATGTCATATCTTATCAGAGCAGGCCGCGACCCTTAAATAGATCATAGCAAATAAATGCGTACTACTCTGCTGATAATCGTTGCCCATTCTCATTACTCACTTATATTTAGCCGTGGATATACGGTTATTGCAATATTTTGTGGGCTGTGGCGCGTTCAACGAAATGACGCGTTTTTCCGCGTCATTCGACTCGTAACCATTGAAGTGCGGAATTTCATCGTCATCATCTGGAACGATAAAACAACATATATGTAAAAAAAAACTGGATATTCGAAGTTGCCCGACCAATGGGCAGGATTATTCAAAATCAACTAAGCAACTATTCATTATTTTTTTAACTTAAGCTTAAAGTCAATCGGATTGAAAGCAACAATAGTTATAAAAAAAATTTTTCACAAATTCTCCACACTTGCTGTTGTCCTAGACCTTGTGCTCGCGTACGCAAAATATAACTTCAGTATGAAAGTCGCCAGAGTTTGGGCTATTCGCTAGTCAATCAATCAATCAGTCAATCAGTCAATATGTATACAAATCTTATAGAGCCTATCGATTTTTATTGAAACCAAAAGCAGCACCCTATATTTACTTTAGTACATCGTCCTCCCATTTGGCAAAGAAGAAATTGATAGCGATGGGGTTGCCCAGGGCATACTTTTTGGCAAATCGCTTGATGCTGAAGCTGGGCCGCCCCTCGTAGTTACTGCTGGGTATGTAGGGCTCGTCGAAGTCCAGCTCGCAGTGCTGCCTAAAGGCCAGGAAGACATAACGATGACGGCCGGTTTTGGCGGGCGGACGGCTGCCAATGTAGCCCACAAGCGTCTGACCAAGCGCCACATCGCAGCCGTGTATGTTGCCCACCAGCCAGTGAAGCCAATCCCGTTTTGTGGGCGCGGCACGACTTGGGGCATCCGGGTCGATCATGGCCAGCGTGTGAAGCTTGTTAGGGTCTGCCATCCACCTAATGATTGGCTCGTGTCTCACATTCAGTGGGGTTAGGAGACAGCCCGGCCTGACAACGGTATCGCAAGGATAGAGCACATCGATGATCTCATGGGGCTTGCAAGTCACAACGTCTGGTATGATCCTGTGCTTCTTCATCAACCGCCACATTTCTATGACTGGGTCCGCCGTGACACAGGTTACAAACATGATGCTAGGAATTTTGAATATTCTAACTTTATGAGCCAACTTTAACTAGCCTAAAAAGATGACTTTATATACGTAGGTATAAGAGCACATATTAGCACGTTGCCCGGTCAAAGTAGTTTTTTTCATCTAATTTCTGGCTTCGCAAATCGTTGAAAACTAAGACTTAGAGAGTTTTAAAGCCAATGAAAATTTTCCACTTTGATACTGAGTTTAAAGCGTACTTCCGTCTACTTCCACCCATTCTCGTGGATTTACGGACATTTCACAAGGAGCTGAGAAAATGAGTGGATGGACTAACGACTCCAACGTATACGCAGCGCTCTTTAAACACTGCGAAACCCTTGGACACTGAGTTTAAAGCGTACTTCCCCCCACTTCCACCCATTCTGATGGATTTACCGAATATTCACAGGGATTTGTGATAATGAGTAGATGGACTTACGACTTACGACTCCAACGTATACGCAGCGCTCTTTAAACACTGAGAAACACTTGGAGACTGACTTTGAAACGTACTTTTCCCCTACTTCCACCCTTACTGGTGGATTTACCGAATATTCACAAGGATCTGTGAAAGTGACTGAATGGACTTACGACTCCAACGTATACGCAGCGCTCTGTAACACTTAGACACAGAGTTTGAAACGTAAATACTTCACCCTACTTCCACCCTTTCTGGTGGATTTACCGAATATTCACAGGGATCTGTCAAAATGAGTGTGTAAACTTACGACTCCAACGTATACGCAGCGCTCTGTAAACATTGCGAAACACTTAGACACTGAGGGTGAAACGTAAATACTTCACCCTACTTCCACCCTTTCTGGCGGATATACTGAATATTCACAGGGATCTGTGAAAGTGACTGAATGGACTTACGACTCCAACGTATACGCAGCGTTCTGTAAACATTGCGAAACACTTAGACACTGAGTTTGAAATGTAAATACTTCACCCTACTTCCACCCATTTTGGCGGATATACTGAATATTCACAGGGATCTGTGAAAATGAGTGGGTTAACTTACGACTCCAACGTATACGCAGCGCTCTGTATACATTGCGAAAGTTCATTCTGGTCCAGCGATGGGCGCACTGCCTCACGGATGGTCTCCGGCGTCGGCTTGGATGCTTTGCCACGTTTAAGATACGATTCGAATCGTCGTTGATGTCGCCAATCAACTCCGTTGCGGCCGTCTCAATCGATTCCAGATCCGTCGCGTCCGTCACGTCCCTCTCCTCAATGCCCGAGCCGACCGCCTGAAAAGCAATGCTCTCCCTGCTGCCTGCCTTCGTTTTCAGTATGCCCTCCAGTTTGATTTTTCTTATGGCCAAATGCTCTACTGCCTGCTCAAGCAAGCTACAAGTGGGCGTGCCAGTGCGCGTTTAAGGTGCTTCACAGAGCCAGCGCTTGCGCTCTTAATTTTGGCCACATTTCGGTCAAATGCCGTTTGCTCGGGCGGAATAATTTCTTCAGCTTGCCTCAACTTTCACATTTTGCCAGGTACATTAGGAATTTAAATTGTTCTATATTTAGGTGTATTTATGATGCAGAAATTGAAGTTTTTAGGTATGTAGATTTGAAGGAACTCGCGAGAGATTCACACTTGGCAGCGACTCACTCGGGCAAGTGCGTCAAAAGTGCGCAGTATCGATTTGTCGCACGTTGAACGCAGCGACTGCCACGTGATGCACTCGATAATTGTGCCACAAACAGTTGCACCTAGCACTAATTCTTTACAAACGACAATTGCCAAATATGCCAAAATATTTGCATACACACAATTTAGCTGCACACACACACACACACAGAATTTTCCACCGAACTGTTGCCCCAGTTTGTTGCGTGCTGCGTGTTGTGCTCTCTTGCAGCTTAACGTTGCGACTGAAACCAACACGGGAGAGCCGAGCCGAGCCGTGTGTTGCTGGACTTGGCCACGGTAGGTAATAATGAGCGAAAAGTTCTAGGCACTCGGGGTCGGCCAACAACACCTCAGCCCAGGCAGAGGCGAATTGCGCCGTTCTGATTTGTATCCTTTGGGGTGTGTCGCAAACCCTTGAAACACCCTTTAGTCAATAAGATAGGCATAAACAAGGGGTATAGCGCAGCTGTGCAAATGCAAATGTGTGGAAGGCAGCATCATCAACAGTTGTTCGTCTCGGTTCACGTTAAATTAATTTTGCAACACATTTCAAGAATATTTCACACTTCGAATAGCCACATTTGTGAGAAGCTGATTTGCGGTATATTCACACATTTGAATATCAACTTCAAGCACTATAATATTTTTAAAGATTGGACCATAGACTGTAGTTAATGAGGAGTAGGATCAGCTTTTCGTGGCTGGAATAAATGTTTGTTACGGCAACACATCAGGGAGTACAGGGTATCTTGTAGTTGGGCACTCGGAATAGCCTCTTTGTATTTGGATATCTGGCATCTGTAACTAGCCGTCGTCCCTGGACGGTATTTACAAAGCAAGTGCATGTCTTAGCCGCATTGGGCCAATAAAAATTGTAATCTAGAAAGATTACTCTAGACGAGCGTGCTAGACTACGAGCTACTCTGCACTTATCTTCTCTATATATAAAACTATTTGTTCTGACTGACTGACTGTACGACTGGCTGAATGACTGACTGACGGATGATAGCACAACCCAAACCGCAAGAGCTAGGAAGCTGAAATTTTCACTGTAGTTACATCATGTGATAAAGGTACACGTTAAGACGGGGTTTCGGGAAATTCCACCCGCATCAGTGGAAAAATCGCGAAAAACGTTTGTATGATACTTTTTGTTTACTATCCGCCTCAAACTCATTTTCAAAGATCATTGTTCAAATTCACACTTTTCTAAATATGCATTCCTCCTTGGTGGAAATGGAAGTCAAAGATTTGGTGGGTGACGTTTCGCGGTTAAATTTATTTCCAAGAATCTATATGAAAAATCATTTGAGACGTGTTTCACACTTTTCCCAGAATCAAAACTTCTGGAAAGTGTGATTCTACGATTTTTTGGTGAAGTTTTAAGGGTTGTCCGATTTGCTTCAAACTTATTTTCAAAGCTCTAAATGAGAACTTAATGAATACGTGTTGCAGGGATTTGGCAAATTCCACCCGCAAAAGTGGTAAATTGGCGGAAAACCGTTTTAATTACCGTCCGGTCGGTTTCAAACTTATTTTCAAAGATGTTTGTGAGAATTTATTTGATACGTTCTTGGTTGGCGAATGCGGGTCAAAGGTTTAATAAATGAAAGTTAATTCTTCAGCTTCAAGATTCTCACGGCAAGTCTAACATGGGCGGAAACTGTTGATTCCAACACTTGGTTCTTTATTCGATAAGTGCATCGATATATATTTATAAATAGAAGTAGAGATCAAGGTGGGCAGATTTCAATTTTTAACGGGTGTGTACTTAGTGAAAAGATAATATCTATGTATATATCTATATCTATATCTATATCTATATCTATATCTATATCTATATCTATATCTATATCTATATCTATATCTATATCTATATCTATATCTATATCTATATCTATATCTATATCTATATCTATATCTATATCTATATCTATATCTATATCTATATCTATATCTATATCTATATCTATATCTATATCTAAATCTAAATCTATATCTAAATCTATATCTATATCTATATCTACATCTATATCTTTATGGCCGGGAAGTACCCGCTAGTTGTATATACATATGTACACAATTATCAAATCTGCACTATTTTACTGCCTTATTTGACTTTAAATAGCAGTCTCTGGCTTAACGATAAGATTACAAAAGATAAAAAATATAGAATAAATAATAATAATACAACTGCAGTCCTCAGTAGATGTAAATTGACCAAGTAATTCAGACATTCGGGCAACTGAACAAGCTTGTTTAACGGAGTGCCATATAAAACTTATGCTGTTAGTTTAAAGTATACCTGAACTGTTGGTAATAGTATTTAATGAGATATACACCTTCACATTTGCGCTTCCTCAGGCCCGTTCTCTCCATGAACTTTCGCCGGGTGTTCGAGAACCAGCTTGGCTGTGCCTTGGGATCAGTCCGTTC